CTAGATGACCCACAGAGGTCCCTGCCAACCCCGACCATTCTGTGATTCTGTGATTCCTCCGATGGCATCTTCGGGATCAGGAGCTGTTTTCGGCCATAAAACCCCTCCAGGTCCCCATCTGGCCCAGCCAACACACGCTGCCTACAGAGCCAGCTAATCCGCTCTCACTGATGTGCAAATTGCTCACATTTCTACCATCTAAGAAGGATTTAAGACAGTGTCCGCTAATCTTTTCCAATTGCAGGCCTTTCAGGACTTCATCTGGAGCTGGATGCCCGCACTGGGAGGCAGGCCGGGGAGGAAGGGCAGGGGAACACGCCGCTCTACTCACATCCCGGTTCTCGGGCAGCCCGTTGTACCAGCCCACGAACTCTCGGGCCGAATAAACGCCGGAGAGGTTCTCCCCTGGGATCCCCAGCACCCGGTTGTCTTCAGCACCGTAACTCTGAGGAGGGAGCAGACATGGTCACAGACGTCACCGTCCGCGAGGTTTCAGACCAAAACACAAATCTCCCCTTCCAGCTGCAGCCAGGGACCCTGCACGGCTGCCAACCCTTCCCAAGGGCCAGGATACTCAGCGGAGGGGCTAAACACAGCCTGAGCACCGGGGCTTCATCCACCCCCTCCCACCCGGCTCCAGAGCCAAGCGTGACCTCCTTGGGCCAAGGCAGAGCACGGCAAGCTGAGGACTGAACGGGGGGGACAAATCCATGCCAGGCTGAACCAGGTATTGGCCATCGCAGGGAAGAGGTTCCCCAACTGCTGCCCCTTGCAGCGGGGTTTCAGAGACCTGCACTTGATGCCATGCTCAAGCACATGCTCCCTGCGAGGCTTCGGACGAGCCTCGTAGCATCTGAGCTCACCCAAACCTTCCTCCCGGCTCCGAGGCGCGGTACCCACCAGCACCACGGCGTGGTACGCCTGCCGCAGCTCTGCCACCGTGACGTCCCTCCCCACGGTGACGTTTCCGTAGTAGGCACAGCGCTCCGAGCGCGCCGTCTGCGTGAAGGTGTTGATCACGTTCTGCCGAGATCAAACAAGCACCAGGGAGTTACGTCCAAGCCACAGCCCGGGCCAAGGCCTGCTGCTGACAGGAGGTCCCCGCTCCTG